TTTGTGTAGTCGTTTGACTTTTTGCAGGTAAATATCATATGGCATGCACTTTTTTTCTAAAAAGTAAAAATGGCACAATTGGCAGGAGGACATGTGTAAGGAGTTATGAGTGTGAGAGGTTGAGAGTTCGAATCTCACCTTTGGCACTTTTTGTTGTTTTTATTATTTTTACTCTAAATTTTTCTATCTTTCATTAAAAAAAAATAACAAAAATAGTTTTTTATTATTATTTAATTATTATTTTCGTATTTTAATTAAATCATTTTTTAAAATATTATTTTTTTCACTTTTTTCTAAATTATTCATAAAAATATCCAAAAAATCATAAAATAAAAAAATATTGAAAAAAATTTTGTTCTTTTTATAATATTTTTTATTTTAGGAATCAATAGGATTATTAGTTTTTATTTTAAGTTTATTATTTTAAATTATTTAAATTTTATTTTTTCTTAACTAATTATTTAGTTTGGGCTTTAAAATGGGCTTTAGGGACATTATTGACAATTTGGTGTTAACCCTAATTTGTTCCCTATATATATATATATGTGTTGCCTTGTTGGAAAAGAGGGGAGAATGAAAAAAAACCTAAGAGGAGTGAGTGCCGTTGGCCGTTATTTAGTTTTCTTCTTCATCCATTACTATTGTTTCTTTTTCTTCATCGTTTACCGTTATTTCTTTTCCTTCATCTATTACTGTTGTTTCTTTTTCTTCATCTTTTACCGTTATTTCTTTTTCTTCATCTATTACCGTTATTTCTTTTTCTTTATCTATTACTGTTACGTTTATATATATATAATTTTTAAATTGTTAGAGTTTATGTATATAAGATTTTTGATTGAATTATGTCGATACGATGTTTGCACATTTGTGTGCATGACGCGTGACATTTGTGTTAGTTCGATCTGGTTGCGATGATCGCATTTTTGTGTGAGCAATAATACTATTTTTTGCTTAATTTCTTTTTCTTTGCGATAAATTTTGTTTCGTCCGATTTAGATCTGGTTGCGATGAGCGCATTTCTGCGTTAGCAACATTGTTGGGTTATTTGGCACATTTAAAATTCATTATTGCTTTATTATTATTATTATTATTATTATTATTATTATTATTATTATTATTATTATTATTATTATTATTATTATTATCATTATTTATCATTATTATCATTATTATTATTATTGTTATCATTAATTTATTAAAATTTGTTGTAATATAAAAATCTGTTTTTTTAAAATAAATAACATTAACATCTTTTTTCCAAATTAATATGAAAACCTAATTTTAATTTTCTATATGATTCTATGTATATATTTATTATAATTCTTGTAAATTTTTGTAAATAAAATTAAACCTTATAAATACTTAATGTAAGATTTTGGTGAATGTGATTATTGATTAGTTAAAATTTGTTTTCATCATAATGTGTAAATATTTTTCTTAATAATTGTTAATATATAATTAGAGATAATTAAATTTTTGTAAATGATTAAGAAATTTATAATTATGTTATATTTAGAACTTTATATTATAGTAATTATTTAATCATTTATGTTTCTAAATAAAAATCAAATCTTATGATATTTAGAACTTTATATTATAGTAATTATTTAATCATTTATGTTTCTAAATAAAAATCAAATCTTATGATATTTAGAACTTTATATTATAGTAATTATTTAATCATTTATGTTTCTAAATAAAAATCAAATCTTATGTTTAATCACGTTATTAATTAATTATTATTGCTAATCATATTTTATTGCTTATTATTATTTTGAAATTTCTATCTTATTATTTTTTCTAACTTTGTCTATTTTTCTCATTATTATTGTTTCAACTAATTATTTTCACTAACTTTATATTTATACTAACCTTATTTAATTTTTCTTATTATTTACTAACCCCAATATTTTATTTACTTATTTGTTATTTTTTTTTATTATATTTATTTTGATCATATTTTACTATTTATTTTATTTATTATAATTTTGTAATTGCCTCTTAGATGTAAATTGTAATCATTTAATTATTATTATCATTATGGTTAGTAATTAGGGAGTGCCAATATGTATGATATTTAAAAAAATAAATTAGATCATTTTAATATAAGATAATTAAATTAAACATTTCACACACGTAAGTCGATTTTAATCGCCGTCTCACTTCTTAAGGATATCCCTCAAGTTGCCTATGAATATTGGTTAAGTGGGGTGTATAAAGCAAGTCCCTCAAAAAGAAAATCATCAAAGTCCCTTATGGTTGCCTTTACGAATCGAGTCCCTTTCGAAAAATGATGATAGTCCCTCCAGTTTGCTTATTACACCCCACAATGGCCTTCAAAAATCCAATTGTCCCTCACATGTCCCTTAACATCCAAAGTAAGGACTACCTACTCCATTATAGTAGGGATAGTCTTACTAAGGAAAGGATAAAGAATAAGAAAGACCTTAAAACATTAGGGTAGGCTACTCCTAGATACTTGCTCACTTCAAAACTTTTTCACACTTAAACAAATTTCCAACAAAATTTTCAAACAAGTTCTTAACACATCCTTACATGGATTATTTATTAACTATTCTGAAAATTTTCTATTCACACACTACACTTTCAAAACAATTCAAAAGTGAGCTTAAGTACCTAAGAGCCCATGGATAACCATGGATGAAAAGGGTGCTAACACCTTCCCTTTTCATAACCTACCCCCCGGACCCAAAATATTCTCTAAGGTCTTTCCTGTTCTTTTATAACCTTTCCTTATGGATAAAATAAAAGTCGGTGGCGACTCTTGCTATCCGCAACATTGTTTAAAGTCAGTTCACCGGGTTACAGGCGGAACTGGGACAGGCTGATGGTCCATTGAGTACTGGACCTATACGTTGTTGTCGCGATCCGAGGAAGGAGAGGCGGTGACTCCGTCCCTCTGTTGAGGAACATTATCTCTAACAAAGAGGTTCACCTTATCATTGTCTGTCTTACTGACGGGGGACATAAAGGTGTTGCGAGAATTGCAGACGTTATCACGGTTGACCATGATCGAAATCTTGAAAAGCTGCTTTGATCTTTGGTTTATGGAGAAAGAAAGACAGGGAAAACATAAATTCCCACAGACGGCGCCACTGATCTTGACGGTTGATCAGAACCTAAAGTGGACCAAAGACTTCGTCTACGATGCCGGAATCAAGGAGGAGGGGGTGTACCTGCAATACACTTTGATGTTAAAGTAAAGATCGGGAGATAAAAGACAAGTACAAAGTAAGTGTTTCTCAAGGTGATTATTGGATTGAATATTGAACATCCGACCCTCTCAAAGGAGAGAGTTTTTATAATGCCCCAACACTTGGCCACTAATCCCTATTTTCGGGGGGAGATATGTGCTCCCCAAAAATAGGTAACTACTAGAAACTAGTCATTGAGATGATCAGATATGATCGAAACTAGCCGTTGCTTCGAGCAGGGGCGTGGTTCTTGGCAAAGGCGTCGTTGGCGTTCCTGGATGGATGAACTGTGCGTAATAGGCATAGATGTAACGAAGGGCAGCTGACCAAATCTTCTCGGCTGAGGCGCAGAAGAGAAAGTGCTTCCCTTTGCCCTTAACTGGCAGGGCTTAGATCATTGGATCGTTCTGTGTGCAGAAGTGGATTGAGCCATGCCTATCCATTGGCCAGTCCGAAACTATATATATATATATATATATATATATATATATATATATATATATATATATATATATATATATATATATATATATATATATATATATATATATATATATATATATATATATATATATATATATATATATATATATATATATTTCATTTGTTTATTTTTTATAAATTAACATTCTCTATATTTAAATGCAGAAATTAATTCTCAAATTTAAAAGAATCACAATAGATAGTAATAAAACTCTCTTATTTATTTATGTGTGAGTTTTTATATTGTAGTTATCATTTAAATTATTATTTCTTATTTATGTGTGAGTTTTTATATTGTAGTTATCATTTAAATTATTATTTCGTCTCATAAATACAGTTCGGTTGGTAGTTAAAATTTGTTTTTTCTTAGTTTAGAAAAAGGATAATTAGCATTTTTTTACCATCTTTATAATAATTAGCACTATTCACTAGTGCATTTAAAAAAGAGCATTATGCATTAGTATATCCTTTTTTTGGGTACAAATATTCGTGGTAAATTCTATTATACTTGAAATCCGTAAGAAAAACAGTTATGCCTTTTTCCCGGTTTTAATTTCACCAAGGACACCGTCTAGATTCAATGAAGGCAAGGTACCTCACCCAATAAACAGGCAACACAAAATAAAAATATCTACTCTAACGAACCAAATCTGACAGACAGCATTAAACAAAGGAAAAAAACCGATCTTATCCTAAATTAAATTCCCGTATCACACCTCAACTTGTGCTGGTATCTATTCTCTTCCAACACAAACTTTCAAGGTTAAACCTGTCATTTCACTTCCCACCCTCTCTGGTCCCTTACCCGTTCCTCCATTTCAAACAATCGCATAAAACATAAACAACAATAACATTTAAAAAAAACATATCCTGCGAATTTCTCAGACACATCTCTCTTTCTCTCTCTTCCGTGTTTCCTTCTCAAAACGTGTTTGACTCTCTTTCCTTCAATTTCAGAATCCCATTTTTGTAAATTCTTCTTTATTCAGGGTTCTTCTCATCTCTCTGTACAATAGTAATTTGTATATATATTAATTATATAAACTTTTAGAAAGAAAAAAAAACAATTATTCAATTCTTCAACCAATCTTTTCTTCTTCTGTACAAAATAATTTTCCATTGTTTCAAATTCTGAGCCACCGTAACTGTAGATTGCAACTTAAAAAAAAATCTAATTATTCGGTTATTCTTTTATCTTTTTCTCTTATATTTATAAAATTGAAGAAAAAAATTATAAAAATTGAGTTTTGGAATTGAAAACCTTAATTCCTAAATCGAAAAGGAAGTAGAAGGTTTTGTTTCATGGCTGTTTCAACTATATCTCTTTACGCGAGTCCACCGAGTAGTGTATGTTCCGCCCCGCATCAGATTAGTCCTCACGCTTCCTATGATTTCGATTTTGGATCTAGATCTTCGTCTCCGGCATCGACGGCGTCGACATCGGCGAAGCCTATGATCGGTGGTTTGTCGTGTTTGTTTTCGTCTTCGGCGGCGGTGAAGCATGTTCCGTTGGCTTCGAGTTTTTCCGGTGGAGATGAAGATGAATTGAAGGAGCTTGGTAGTTCGTTTTCGTATTCGCCGAGTAAGTTTGGTGGATCTTGGAAGAGGGATTATCAGAATCAGATTCAGAGTCCGGTTTCTGTTTTTCAGTGTCCGGTTTCGTGTGGTAGTAGTATGGGGACAGTTCGTTCGTCGAGGAGTAGTGCTGGTGGGTTCTTTGAAGGGTTTGTGAGGAGTGCTTTGGGTTCTTCTTGTTTGGATTATGATACTACTGGTGTTAGGCTTCGCGGCGGTGGTGGTGGTGAGTTTGATGGAGGTTCTTCTTCTGGACTTGTTGATGAGTTGACTTTCAATTTAGAGGATACTTTTGTAGAGGGTTGCTTTGGATTTGAGTTTGAGCCTTATGCTAAGAAGTTGTTGATGAGTGCTCAGTTGAGGCACAAGATCTTTTGTGAAGAGTTTGTTATAAAGGCGTTTTGTGAAGCTGAGAAAGCACATAGAGGACAGGTTAGTTGAATTTTATGTGTGATTGGATTTGGAATGTATGATTTTTGGTTTTGATTTTTGGTTTGTTTGAATGATGTTGATGAGTTGTTTGTTTGTAGATGCGAGCTAGTGGCGATCCGTATTTGCAGCATTGTTTGGAAACTGCTGTGTTGCTGGCTTTGATTGGTGCGAATTCAACTGTAGTTGCTGCAGGGCTTTTGCATGATACACTTGATGATGCTTTTCTCACTTATGATTATATATTTGGGATGTTTGGAGCTGAAGTTGCTGATTTAGTTAAAGAGGTGAGGAATTTGTTTGGTGTTAATCAATAATTGGTTGTTATTTAAGATTAAGATAATGGAATTTGATGTTTTTGATTTGCATGTTCTTAGCTGTCTTTTGAATCAGTCTTTGCAATTGAATTTGTTACTAAATTTTCTGCTTTAGATCTAGTGTTAGTGATTTGTTGTTTTCCATCAAATGTTGGGGTGCACTTTACATGTCTTATTGGCTATGTTCATCTTTGGGTGGTTCCTAGAAATTGTTGTCTTGTCTTGTCTCTATATTGACTATTGAGCCGTTTTATCCTTCTTTTGATGCTTTAGTTATCATTATTGTTTATGCGGTAATGACAATTTGTATAATTGGTTTATGCGGTAAGCAAAGCTTTGTTCGCCTAGCTTTTTAGCATAGTTTTGATGCTTTAATCTCCTGTGTGTTGGTTACGTGCTGCACTTCAATTTTCTATTCAATTTTCGTACTGCTAGTGGGTGGCATTTTTGTTGGAATGTATAATGTATGATGCCAGTTTTTGTTTTCACTTTTGCTTATTGAACTCTGTCTAGTTTTTTCTTCAAGAATCTAACTTATTGTTATGGCATTTTAGGTTTCTAAACTGAGTCACTTGAGTAAGCTGGCTCGTGACAACAACACAGCTAGCAAGTCTGTTGAAGCAGATCGCCTGCATACAATGTTTCTTGCCATGGCAAATGCAATAGTTGTCCTCATTAAATTGGCAGATCGATTACATAATATGATGACACTAGATGCATTGCCGGTTGCCAAGCAGCAGAGGTTTGCAAAGGAGACTTTGGAGATTTTTGCACCTTTGGCCAATCGCTTAGGTATAACTATTTGGAAGGAACAGTTGGAAAATTTATGTTTTAAGCATCTCAACCCAGTGCAGCACATGGAACTATCGTCAAAACTTGTGGAATCGTATGATGATGCAATGATTGCTTCTGCAATAAATAGATTAAAGCAAGCACTTAAAGATGAAGGCATTTCTTATCATGTCATTTCTGGGCGGCACAAGAGCTTGTATAGCATTTACTGCAAAATGTTGAAGTATGTTTTACCTTTCCTTTTTTTATTTGGCTGTCGATTTACATAAATTTCATGTCTATATTTATGTGAAAGAAACTATTTTGAATTTAAAACTACTGATGTAAAGGTATAGCATCATCTTTACCCGACATGGTGCACTATTGTTTTTGTGCGCTTCAAATTCTCAATAATTCATTTGTCTGCATATTTGCAGGAAGAAACGAACCATAGATGATATCCATGACATTAATGGGCTGCGCTTGATTGTCGAAAAGGAGGAAGACTGTTACAAAGCCTTAGAAGTTGTTCACCAGTTATGGTTGGAGGTACCTGGAGAACTGAAAGATTACATACGTGGCCCCAAGTTCAATGGGTATGTTGCAGGTCAATAACAGTAGTGCACACTTGCAAGTGATTGCCTCTATATCATTTGACTTAGATTTTGTATTTCACAGGTATCAATCTCTGCACACTGTGGTGATGGGTGAAGGCAAGGTTCCCCTCGAAGTACAAGTTCGAACGAAAGATATGCATTCACAAGCAGAATTTGGAATCGCCGCACATTGGAGGTACAAGGAAGATCACCGTCAGCTTTCTTCCTATGAGCTTCAGATGGTTGAGTGGGCTCGTTGGGTTGTCACTTGGCAGTGTGAAGCAATGAGTAAAGATTCTACTTCTGTTGGATGTGTCGATTCTATCAAGCCATCTTGCAAATTCCCTTCTCATGCTGATAACTGTCCATATTCTTACAAGCCTAATTGTGCCCAGGATGGGCCTGTGTTTGTTATCATGATTGAGAATGATAAGGTATGTGCTAGATTTTAGTTAAATGTTTAGAATCTTCTGATGTGTTTGAACGTCTGTATTAACTGTCAGCCGTGTTCGAGTGAATGTGCAGATGTCTGTACAAGAATTTTGTGCAAACTCCACAGTACTGGATTTGTTGGAGAGGGCCGGGCGAGCAAGCTGTAGGTTGACAACATATAGGTTTCCTCTGAAGGAAGAATTGAGGCCAAGACTGAATCACAAGCCTGTAAGTGATCCAAATTGCAAGTTGAAGATGGGAGATGTGGTCGAGCTTACACCGGCCATACCTGACAAGTATCTTACTGAATATAGGGAAGAAATCCAGCGAATGTATGATCGCGGGCTAACTGCATCAGAAATGGGAACTACTACTGCAAGCAGCATGGTTGGCACTAGTTGACCGTTGCTTGACTTTCATATCCATTCCAACATGTTTAGTCACAGTTTATGTTGTATATAGATAAAATCTGTACAGAACAAAAAAAAGTGTTACTACTATGAACTTTGCTAACTTGATTCAATTGTCTGATGAATGATTGATTTATGTAGTTGGTCCAATGGTTTAAGTTTTATTTTGTGAGTCCTGATTTTATGAAATAGTAGTTTTTATCTTTATACTAAGATGAATCTGTAGAACATCATATCAACATTCTACTTTATAGTAGAGTCTCTACTTGCTCTCAGAATCAATGGTTCGTTAACTTGAAATAGCTAAAGAGTATATAACAAATTAAGATTTCTAGTATATCCTTTTTCTTCTTTTATGGTTATTCTTTGCGTGGAGTGTAATGCAAGACAAGTTCGAAACACAGATGTAATATTGTCCTCCTTTAGTTTAAAAACTTGGTTTGCATTCCTTTCTGATCTGACCAATTACAAATTCATTGTTTTTAGTATACATCGGATCTTAGAATAAGGAACGGTTTACAAAATGTTATTCTATTATTATTTTTATTTTTTTGAAGTGATTTAAAGAAGATAGTACATGATATCATTTTTAAATTTATTCTATTATTATTTTGGGACTTTTTTTCAAACAAAGATTCCTTGCAAGAATAATAAAATCAAAACTTTTCATTTGGAAATCAAACACTTCACATTTCATTTCAATAATTGAATTTAAATAGGAGATTATAGAAAGTTGTCCCATTTTTATTCAACTGATTTGATTTGCTTACCGTAACAAATGCTTAAATTGATGAGTGTGGGTGTGGGCAATATGGGTTCCCACATCACGTCTTTCTCTTTCATTTCTTATTCTCTTTATTTTTAAAGCAACTTTAAGAATTACATTATTGGATTGAAATTGTGTTATTTGAATATTTAAATAAATATACTGTCATATACGTTTATTAACATAAATAAACATACTGTTATATACTAAATATAAATTATTAAATCCTATAGTTTATATGCATTTTAAAAAGGAGATTCTTTAATGCATATCACACACACACACACATATATATATATATATATATATATATATATATATATATATATATATATATATATATATATATATATATATATATATATATATATATATATATATATATATATATATATATATATATATATATATATATATATATATATATATATATATATATATATATATATATATATATATATATATATATATATATATATCACATGAAAATATTAAAATACTATTTTTAAGATATATTTTTAGATGCATCTCAAACACATAATCTACATATATTTTGAGTGACGTCCTAGGAATGTGCCGGTTTTTGACCTAGAGATACATCTCCAAAATCTGTTTGTAGATGTATTTTCGTAACATTGTGAAACAGAAATAGAAGTAGAAAACCAGAAAATTGTATTTTGACATGATCAAATTATCATTCATAACATAAAATCAACATTAAATATGTTGTGTCAACATATAATAAAACATTACATTTTAATATCCAAGTGGACGCTTCTATATCTTCGACCGATCTTGAAATTGTCGCTTTCAACTCGATCAAGACTTTTGTTTCAAAATGGAAAAATGTATTCCACATTGCGCTTACATCTGCATCCGTCTTAAGCTCATAGTTATTGAACTCAGTCCTGCCTTCGTTGTTAATTGACTGTGAATGGTTATCGAGCTTCACAATTTTTTGATTATCTATGTAAGATAGGAGATTATGCACTTCGTATTGCAGATCTGCAAAAGAGGTGTACTTATTGAGCTTAAACTTTCGCCCAGGTGTCGCGCTGGAAAAGGAGACGTTTGCGACATACCAGATGATGATTATTTTTCACATTGGAGATATTTTTTATTTGTATGAAATAAAAAACAAGAGCCTAAATTTATAGAAGTTGTAGACAAATGTAGACCATAAAAATTCTATCATATATATCAGTGCTGGTTTCAGAGATACATTTTCGGCACCACTCTATTATCTTAATCCGGATATACATATCCAGAACCTCTCCTGAACCAGGCTAAAAATAGAACTTGTGTGCTTGTTTGACAAATGAACAAATGTTTTGGCAAACATAAAAAATATATTGAAATATTTGAAATTGTATATATTACACTTCATTAATATTAATACACAACCAGGTACACTTAATTGATGACGAAAACTAAAACGAATCAAAAGATTTGTCGTCGACTAAATCTATAACTATGGGTGGTACCCCATTTGACTATTGTGCATTTGATTCTCTTTCAATGTTGCTCAATTTGTCGAACTCTTTCATCCTTTTCAGAAATTGGTCATGCAAAGTCTCAACTTTTATTGTTGAATGAGCCGTCCACTCCACTTATGTAAGTGGTATAGGGCATCCCAAATTCAAATAAACTTGAACAAAGTGTTGTAATTTTGAAAGCCACCTAATACATATAATACGATCATTTGGATGTTGAGGTGGGGCAGTGCGCAACGGGAAAAAGATTTTCGAAAAATTGTATCTTGGAAGATCAATGCATACTATATCATATGCAGTTGCTATAAGATGACCCATTTCAGGGAAACACATCCATTTTCTCCCGGTGTTGGTCCACTAATGCAAGGAACAAGTGACTCATTAATTGTATCAAAGTTTTCTTTCTTTCTGTAAAGCTATCTGTATGATTCTTTATGGGTCCTCAACTCATGGATAATTTTATGGTGGACAAGTGTGTGATTATTTTCTCCTTTACCGAGTAAAATCGAAATAACTCGATAACCAAAATTATCGCCACTCTCAACATTGACGATTTGTTTAATGTATTTGTGCATAAAAACTGACATCTCCTCAATGAATGAAATTTTTGATGGAGGTAGTGAAAGAGGTGGTTTCCTAATGCAATCTCCTTTAAAACACTATTTTTTTTAGATTTTAGAGTTGATGAGTCCGGAAAAACTTTGTCAACATGTTCATAATACGAAGGAGACCACACAATTGAATTGTCACTCGATTAGGCTTGAGCTTATTCAGAGTACCTTTTGTTTTTACCAATTGATATGGTGGTTTCAAGTTAGTGGTTATCAGATAAACAATCTTTCCCAATTGTTCTTTGATGTGGAGTTTCATATTGTCATCAACTTTCAAAAATCTCTCTTGTATCACTTCCCATTCGGTCAATATAGAGGTATTCAATTTACCGTCTTTCATGACACCATCATCATCATCATCAAACCTAAGCCTTTTCCAGTGACTGCAAACTTCATCCATTCTTAACGGGCTACAAAGTTTCACTTTCTTTTCTATAAGACAAGCACATGGGAGACCATATGTTTTCGCAATTGTGTAATCACATTTTACGCTATCGAAGCCTACATTATTAGCTTTTTTAGCTTCGTGAAAATTATAATTTAAACCGATTTTAGATATGTTGCCAATCAACTGAGAATAAATATTGATGTCTTTAAATCTGTGTTCAAAAACTGTGATGATCCGGCTAAATGATGTACGTATCTCATTATATTGGTTCAGGATCATTTGGTTCACAGAGTCCCAATCTCTATACAAATCGACCTTACTATTTCCCAACCAATTCTTCAATGTAGCATGGGCATACTCAACTCAGTTTTTTGATGTATTACCAAGGTGTCTAACCTGATCGGTCCATGCACAAACAATTTTCTGCTTTTAACATATTTCAACAGATCTGGATATTTCTCTCGCATCTTCCTGAAATGTGTAACAAAATCGACATATAACTCTTTAGTAGAATAACTTACTATAAGATTCCATGCATCCATTATTTTTCCACTATCACACCCGCCTTCACCATTTTTCCATCTCCGGCCTTTATCTATTTCCTCCCTATCGCGAGTTTAATCCGACTTCTCACATTCCTTGTTATGTGATACCTACAAAGTAATGCATAAGAAGTATAAAATACCTTTGCAACCGAATTTATCAAAGCGGTATTGCGGCCGACAACAATTAATTTAGGCATCTCTTCTTGGTTCTCATACACTGCGCAACACACCTCTAAGGCCCAAATAACATACTTCTCTTTTTCGCTCTCTAGAAATGCAAACCCGACAGAATAGATCTTTGTTAGGAAGTATGAGTCGGGAGTGTTTTATCGTATCCACAGGGATTGATGAGAATATTTTATGCTTGTCTTTAATGATTTAGTGATTTAAGAAGGGGGGTTTGAAATTGGTATCTATTTTGTAACATGAGTTTGTAAGAAATAAACAAGGTAAAATTGGTTTTAGTTTGATAACAAGCATGCCAAGATTAGGGTTCACTAATCCTTTTTAAATGTATCCAATCAATCGAATATGTAAACTTAGTTTTAACCAATATAATTGCGTATCCTCGTAAAACCGTTCATCTCTAAAGCGATTTCGTGAATATTATTATTTCAACTGTTAAATGATCTCTCTAAATGATACTCGAAACAATAATCATTAAGATCAATACAATGCAAATATCAACTTCCAAATCTATGTCTAGAGTTTGTATAGTTGATAGATGAATAAATTAGATCAAGAATTAAAAAGTTCGTATCTAAAGCAATCCAAACCATAAATATAACAAGATATAGCAAATAACTTCATCTATATTGATCAAAGCTTTGTTCACATACAAAAGATTAAGAAGAATACATAAAATCAGAACTAACTACCTCTAATCTTGACACAAGAGGGGGTTTACGCACCCATTTCCATGATAGCTTGAGCAACAAGTTTCAGAAGAAGGTTGATCAACACCCGAGTCGAATAATCGAGATTAGATGGGAGTCCACCTTCTTTTTGTAAAAGATGGCTAAGAGATGATGAAAATGGAGAAACTAGGGTTTTTGTGCTGAAAAATACAAAACTATGAAAAGTACAAAAGATTAGACATTTTGGCAAAAGTGGCACCAAGTACTTATAGACATGTTGATGTGATGTCACCTTCGCATTGCGAAGCTCTTGTTCGCCTAGCGAACATCCAAAAGTGGCACTTGAAGTGCCAGTGTACAGTTAAGCCGCCCTTGAGATATTTCCACATATTCACTGTGCGAGCAATCCTTCGCACTGCGAAGCCTTCGCTACAAACTTTGCACATCGAATTCTCCTCCAAATTCTTATTGCCTCAGGTCTGGGGCTATTCGCTAGGTCTTCACTTCTTCTTCGCTCAAGCGAACCATTCGCTACCTCCTTCGCACAACGAGTTTTGATGTCTTTTCTCTCTATATAAACAGTGCTAGGTTTCCAATGCACTTCGCTGGCAAGTTCGCTGTGTCAACTTGTTGATGCTTTTCCTAGGCAAATTCGCTAGCAAGTTCGTTGTGCGAACTTGTTGATGTTTTGCTTCTGGCTTGGTTTCCTTGTCAAAGTTCTTGTGTCTTACTCTTCTTATTTTGTGCCTAATTCCCGCACAATAGCATACAAATCAAAGCAACCAAGTCATTTTCAAGCAATGAAGCATATCATAAGAAAAAGAGTGATTCAATTCAATTCATCTGCAAAACGAATGAAAGATGTCAACATTTGATAGAGCAAATAAGCAAAGTTTGGCATTTAACAGTCTTCTCAGTAGAGGTAACACCAACCATCTCAAAAATTGAAAGTCTATACTTGTTGGTCTTGTATGTTGAATCAATGATGAGCACAATAGAAAACATGTTTGAACAACTTGATGGAATGAAGATGAGTCCAAAATATATCACTAACGGTTACTCCATCCTCACATTCGGTACCTGGAAACATGATTTTTATCATCCAAAAGTTTCAATAGTTGTTGCATTTCACTTTTATCCCCCTTAGCTTCTTGTTATATTGGTACCGAATATTGTACACTTGCTTGATATTTGAGATATTTTTGGGTCTTTTATGTTTTGAAGTTGCAAGTACGTTTTTTGGTTGAACCAAATTCAATATCATGTCTGAAACACATTCCTTCTCTTCCGGCATGAGGCGACATGCAATTGGACGACTGATTAACTTTCCATATAAGTCATGGTTATGTAAACCACATATGATATTAAATCTCCATTTCTTATTTGCCAACATATAAGCACACAACTTAAAAGGACACTCAAATTGATTTCCAACATATACCGCTTTCACAACAACACCTTTCGCATATGGAGGCACAACATGTTTGGGGAAAACATCGGGGTGCACCATATTTAATGAAAAAAATTACAATAAAACACTCAATAAGTGCTAATACTGTAAATAAAGCTGAAAAAATGAGAACAGACAGATACCTAAGATGCATTTCCGGACGAGTTTATACAGACTCTGAAGATGCATCTCCGGATTAAACACATATTTTTCAAACTAAAAGTAAGATTGATGTGAGCAATGAGGTTTAAAATAAGTGATATTTACCTGGAATTCCAGCTTCTTTTGCTCCCTTTCATGTGATGAAACACAAGAATGAATATTTGGAGTGAAAATGTGGATTGAGAATGAAAGAACTTTTGGTAAGCGTTTGGAGTAGAAAACAAGTATGGCTGTCTGACCATGCATGCGAGTGTTTTATCAAATTATTCCGTAGATGCATTTTCAAAAATATCTTACATGCAAAGGTGACAGAAATTTCAAAATCCCACCCCAAACCTCCATAGATGCATCTCTAGAAAATCCACTAAGCTACTCAACTATCAATATATTTGTTGAAAATACCTGGAGATTCATCTCTAGAATAATTTTTTGTGTTAATTTGGGGTGGCACTCATTTAAGGCGTCATAAAAGTGATGTATGGTGCGTCTGAAGATGCATCTCTAAAATTTGAGGAACATTTTCGATTTCCTCTAGGGTGCTTTTCCAACCCATAGAGTGGGATAAGAAATTTCCTTTAAAAATATACATAAAATTTGAAAACCAAGACCATCTTGTTAGGTTTATAGTTTGGGATAGGAATAGTCTGGATCAAATTAGATTTTGCTAATTTAAGTCTGACCTATTAAAAATTTCAAAGTTTAGGCTCGATCTTCAACCTATTAAAGGTTTATTTTTAGGCTTCATCTTAATTTTTTCAAAAGTATGATTGACCCATTAGCATATTTAAAAACCTATTTCATTTGAATATATATAAATATGCAATTCAATACACTAACAAATTAAAAGAGCAATGAGATTAAATATTTATTTGCATTCATTTATCCTAACTTACCTAATAATATAAATTTTGTTGACATTGTTCATAATATTTTTTTCAATTTATTTTCACAAATTCTTTAAGATAAATAACTTTTATTTTTGTATTTTAATTTAAAATACAAAATAATAATAATAAGTTTATAAAATAATAATAATAATAATAATAATAATAATAATAAATTTATTCATGGTTATTTAAATAGGTCGATATGATAATAGTCTTTTTAACTAATCACGCTTTTAATTTTTTTAAACCTTTTTTATTTAAAAAAAGTATGGCCTGACTTGAGTTTGTATAAACTAGACCATATGCCTCTATTAATTAGTATGACCTATACCCACATCTATTTACATTTGAAGCTAGAGAATATGTTCAAATAAGTTAGTTTTTAGGAGTTGATTTAGTTTGTTTACCGTTGAATCAATTTGACGTTATTCTTAGAATGAATTAGTTGGAGTTCAACCATATTCATTTCAACTGTTTCGACAAATCAGTGTCAATTTGATGCAAGTGATGATTTGTTCATGTGGGCTAAACAAGTGGATGAATCCACCCGCACCTTAAGTCTCACTAGATGAATGATTATTTTGTTAAAAATATTTTACATGTTGTTTCAAATCAGATCCATCTTACATCTTTAAGCCGTATAGTCTGTAATTCACTTCCTCTGATACAGATAGAAATGTAAATATCATAGACTTCTTCTTCATCTTTCCTCCATGTCAATCGATTTTTTCTAAAGTGAAGCATTCTATAAACATTACCCAATCAATATATCTTTAACCCTCATTTTCCTTAGTTTGAAATTTGCAATTTCGTCAAACATTGCCACTTCAAATTTTGTATAAGAAATTGTCTATTTTTCTTTATATGAAAAGTGAGAGTTATGTTGAATAAAAAAATAATTCTTATCTCCTATACTCAATGTTTTTTAAAACATATATGTATCGCTATCCTTACTCCGCTAATATATACATGCCTAATTTATTTTTGTTATTAATGTTTTTATCTTACATCCTTTGCTTATAAATTTTAAAAAAAAAATAGATTTAAAAATACTTATAATATTAAATTAGCTATAGTTTTAAACAAAGGTATATAAAAAAACATAATCGGTGTACAAGTTACTAAAGGAGCCCTTGAACTTGATGGATTTTATTAACTAAACATTTTTTAAGTGACTTATTGTTTTTTCTTCTATGGTTTGGAAATTATATCCAATCATTACTAAGTCTTAAATGTAAAGATCAATTTAAATCGATGTTATATGATTATAAGACATACAAATACCAAAATTAGAACTTCAAAATTGCTAAGTTATCATATTATTACATAAGTTCACATAATACATAATGTGCCACATATAAATTAACTAAAGTTAATAGAAGATGAAAAAATTCTTTGCAAGATCAAATATCATGACCCGATTGAGCGCTTCTGCGACCGTGATTTAAAACCTTGATCGATTGTTTTATCTCCACAAAAACTCTTGAACCGAGGTTTGCCAATAAAGAACAAGCATGAGCATAACCAAAACACATGCTAATCCGCAAGAAGAGCTTCCGATTCTAAGCACCAAAGAAGGATCATGAGATGGTAACAATGAAGCTCTTGAAGATGATGATGACATAGAATATGAGCTTGATGAAGAGGTTCTTTTGATGGCAATTATAAGTCCAAAAAGAATCATTGGCAAAACAAAACCATAGCTAGTCCATTTTGATTCATAGTATCTTCTATCACTTTTTGAGTTCACATATAAAGGAGATAGTACTACAGCTGAGACTAAAGCCAATAGCATAGCCAGTGATCTTTGTGAAGATCCATGGTTTGTGGAAACATAGGTTGTTGTATCCATTTTATGAACTTAAAGGGAGAAATAATTTTGGGGTTCGTTTACTTGCAGATGAAGAAACCAATTTGGATTTTGATTAGTATAAATTTTTTAACATATATGAGACAAGTATTTATAGAAGGTGGCAAAAAAGATGAAGGTGATGGGCTAAGGAATCTAGATGACATTGGATGACAGGAGTGTGATAGACAAACAGCCGGCCAAAAAGTGAAGAAGATTAAAGAATGGTAAGAATTGATATAAAGGTTTAAAAAGGAGATTGAGTGGAATGGAGGTAAGGTATATTTTCTTGCTTTTTTGTTGTGTTCATACTTCATACTCCTATTTCATTTTGTGGATTAGTTTAAGGTTTAATCAATGTTTATATGCTTTGATATAGCTGTAATCAAAATTATGTGCATTATAAACAGCAATGATTTTCAATTCTTTTTGACAATGTTTACGTACACATGTTATTTTTTCCTTCTTGTTTTTAATTTCTAAAACATTGAGATGACATGCCATATAGGATAACACTACTTTTATTTTTAAATACTTTTTTAAGAAAGAAAAATAGAAACCGGAAATTATGTTGTGAGCATAATCCAATGTTTTATTATGTTATGCAGGAGATGTTAGAAATAATTTATATTTTATAAAATTTACTGACTAAGCTTTGTTAGAGAGTAATTTAGTACTTTAACATGTTGTCTATGTGGTATTAGTTTTCTGTATATAAATAGACTAGTGATAGATGTCATTTAATGTAATTCTTTCTTACAACTTTGTAGCCGTCATTTGCAGAATGTAATTCTCTCATTTTATTCATCTCTTTTAACATTGTGTATCAATAATTGGTATCTAGAGCTCTTGTTCGGATCCACGGGGAAACACGGAAAACACGAGTGAAACGGTGAGGCGTTGTGTGATTGAATTCGTTTCTTGAATTCGTATTGAATCTTGAACGGAATCGTAACAGAATCACATTTTTTGATTCTGCGGGATTGGAAAACACTGTATTTGGTGAGATCTGAGTGATTGCACAAGGTTGAAGATGAACGAAAATGGTGGTCTAAACACTAAGCTTCCAGTGTTTGATGGAAAAACTAGACTCGTTGGATGATTCAAATGCATGTACTGTTCGATGCTCAAGATGTGCTTGATCTTGTCACTGAAGGTTACGTTTCAGTAGCACCAAATGCAATAAAGGAACAAAAGAACGCGCGGAAAGATACGAGGAAGAAAGGTCATTGTTCTACACCATCAGTGGGTGAATGCAAATGTGTTTGAGAAAATCGTTGATTCAACGACGACGAAGGTTGCGTGGGATACCCTAGTCAGGTGCTATGATGGTGACGCATCAGTGAAAAAGGTAGAGCTTCAGTCCCTACGAAAGTAGTATGAGAAACTCAACATGAAGAAAAATGGGAAGGTATCTGAGTACATCTCCAGAGTGATTCTGATCACTAATGAGATGTAAGCTTGTGGAGAAACCCTTTCAGAACAAGTAATCATTGAGAAGGTATTGAGATCCCTTACCCCTCAGTTTGATTACATTATGGTAGAAATAGATCATTTTAAAGATCTGAGCACCATGAGAATTGAAGAGTTGCAAAGTAGTCTAAAAATGCAAAAGTTGCATCTGACTGAGAGAACTTCTAAAAGGGAAGTAGAGCAACAGGCTCTGAAAACAATTTCTGGTAAGAAGCATCAAAAACAATATTGGTCAGAAGCCAGGAGAAGGTATGATGGTGTTCAGAAGTCAGAAACCTCAACTTTTGATATGCAGAAGAATACTCAGAAGGGAAAAAAGAGGTATGACAAGAAGAAGATCCAATGCTACTATTGTAAGAAGTTTGGCCATTTTGCTGCTGATTGTTGGTCAAACAAGGAAAGGAAGTCAGAAGAAGCAAATAAAGCCAGAAGTTCTGATGATGAATCTGTGCTACTAGTGGCTTCTGAATCTGATGATACGGATTTGACAGACTGGTGGTATATGGACACTTCCTGCTCAAATCTTCTTACTGGAAATAAGAAATGGCTGGTTGACTTTGACTATGGTAAGAGGATAAAGATTAAACGTGCTGATAATAAATACCTCAATGCTGAAGGTATGAGAAATGTCAGAGTCGTTCTGAACAATGGGGAAACAACATTGATTCAGAAAGTGTGGTATGTACCTGGCATGAAAATCAATCTGATGAGTGTGGGGCAACTAATTGAGAAAGGTTTTTTAGTTATCATGAAGGAAAATATTCTGAAGCTATATGACTGTAATCAGAAACTGATTATGGAGTTAGAACATGGAAGGAATAGAACATTCAAGGTGAATGTAAGAACTGCAAGCTCTGAATGTCTTAGTTTAACAAGTGTTGTGAAGGAAAGTGAGTTGTAGCACAGAAGATTTGGTCATCTGAATTTCAGAATCTTAGGGCATATGAATCTAAAGAATCTAGTACATGGAATCCCTACAATTAAGAAGCCTAAGAAGTCATGCAAAGTGTGCATGGAAGGAAAGCAACCAAGATTGTCATTTGCGACAAAAGTAGCTCCAAGAGCAAAGCATACCTTGGGAGTAGTGCATTCTGATGTGTGTGGTCGATTTCCAATAGCATCGATTGGAGGAAGTAAATACTTTGTGCCATTTGTTGATGACTTTACAAGAATGACACATGTATCCCTTATAAAGTTCAAACACGAGGCGTTTTCTAAATTCAAGAAGTTCATAATGAAGGCTGAGAATCAGAGTGGTCAGATTCTGAAGATTCTCAAAACCGATGGTGGAGGTGAGTATAACTCCACTGAGTTTATAAAGTTCTGTGAGGAGAATGGAATTGAGCATAAAGTTACTGTTCCTTATACTCCTCAACACAATGGTCTTGCTGAGAGAAGAAATCATACTTTAATTGATTTGGCGAGAAGCATGCTGAAGGAGAAGAAACTTCCTCATACCTTATGGGGAGAAGCTGTTGCCACCGCATCATATGTGCTCAACAGATGTCAAACGAAGAAGCTGAAGGAAATAGTTCCTATTCAGAAGTGGACAAGAGATAAGCAAAGTGTTATCCATCTGAAGGTATTTGGTTCTGTATGTTACAAACATGTTCCTGAAGCCAGAAGACAGAAGCTGAATGATAGAAGAAAAGTAATGTTACTAGTTAGATACCACAGTACAAATGCGTACAAGCGCTATTGTCCAGAAACTAATAAAGTTGAACTCAGCAGAGACGTCATTGTAAAGAAATCAGAAACTTGGGATTGGAACAAGTCTTAATCGAACTTTAATGTGAGAACTTCTGAAGAAAGTTCAGAATTAGAAGTTTTCTAAAGATGAGTCAGAAACGGGAGAAGATTCTAAAGCTGGAGTAAACTTTAATGTTGATTCTAACTCTGAAGGAGACTCAGAAGGTGAAGATGATTCTGGTCCAGATTCTGTTGGTGATTTATATTCTGGTGATAATTTAGATTCTGGTAATATTCCAGACTCTGAAGGTGGTCAAGTTTTTGGAGGGGATCATGCTTCTGAAGATAGAATGTTTGGAGTTCAAGCATCCGAATGAGATTCTGAACGAGGTCAGAGGCCATAGGGAATCAGAAACACTAAAGAATATTTGCAGAGTTTGACATGCTACAAGACATTGAAGTATAGTATGAAGGAGAAGTTATTCAGTGTGCCATATTAGTAGACTCTAAACCCGTAACCATGGAAGAGGATCTTGAGCATAAATTCTGGCTGAAGGCCATGAAATAAGAACTTGATGCCATAGAGAGGAACAAAATTAGAAGCTAATAGAACTTCCAAATGAAAATAAAGCCATCAGCGTCTGATGGGTTTTCAAGTAGAAACTAAAACCAGATGGATCAATTGGCAAACACAAAGTGAGGTTAGTAGAAAGAGGATTTCTGCAGAAACCTGGGCTGGATTATTCTAAAGTGTTTGCACCTTTAGCGAGACATGAAACAATCAAACTATTGCTGACAGGGAGTTCTGAACAATAGATAACTAAGTTCAAGAAGGTGCTGATGAATGAGTTTGAAATGTATGATCTCGGGAAAATGACATATTTTCTAGGGATGAAGTTTATATACTCTGAGAATGGTATCATGTTGCATCAACTGAAGTATGAACTTTAGCTTTTGAAGAGATTTAAGTTGCTGAACTGTAAGGCTTCTATCACACCCACAAATACAAATCAGAAACTCGATTCTGATTCTAATGGCAAGGATGTGGGTGCTACAACCTTCAAATAATTAGTTGGTTCTTTGAGGTATCTGTGTAATACTAGACCTCATATCTACTATGCAGTTGGAATGGTTAGTTGGTTCATGAGTAAAACTAAGTGGTCCCATTATCAAGTTGTTGTCAGAATTCTGAGGTATATCTGGGGAACTCTGAAGTATGGAGTGTTATTCCCTTCTGGAAGAAAGATTGAATCAGAACTTCTGAGTTATTCAGATTCTGATTGATGTGGAGACATAGTTGACAGAAAATGTACTTCTGGGTACTTATTTAAGCTTATGGGAGGTCCTATTTATTGGTGTTCTAAGAAACAACCTGTTGTTGTGCTGTCAACTTGTAAAGTTGAATATATCGCAGGTGTTGTGATTGCGTGTCATGCTGTGTGGATTCTGAACTTACTACAGGATCTGAAGATCAAAGTTAAGAAGCCTCTAAAGCTGATGATTGATTACAAGTCTGCAGTCAATCTTTCCAGAAACCCAGTGCTGCATGGGAGAAGCAAGCATATTGAGACTAAGTATCACTTTCTGAGAAATCAGGTTTCTAATGGAGTGCTAGAAGTTGTGCACTGTAGCATCCAGAAGCAGTTGACAGATGTTTTGACGAAGGCTATCAAGACCGATAAATTTCTTCACTTAAGAGATGAAATTGGTGTTGTCGGTTTTTGGTAAAAATAAATTAAGGGATGATGTTAGAAATGATTTATATTTTACAAAACTTAGTGACTAAGTTTTGTTAGAGGGTAATTTAGTACTTTAGTATGTTGCCTATGTGGCCCTATTTT